AGTCTATCTAGTCTATGTCTAGTCTATAGTCTAGTCTATAGTCTAGTCTATAGTCTAGTCTATAGTCTAGTCTATAGTCTAGTCTATAGTCTAGTCTATAGTCTAGTCTATAGTCTAGTCTATAGTCTAGTCTATAGTCTAGTCTATAGTCTAGTCTATAGTCTAGTCTAGTCTATAGTCTAGTCCTATAGTCTAGTCTATAGTCTAGTCTATAGTCTAGTCTATAGTCTAGTCTATAGTCTAGTCTATAGTCTAGTCTATAGTCTAGTCTATAGTCTAGTCTATAGTCTAGTCTATAGTCTAGTCTATAGTCTAGTCTATAGTCTAGTCTATAGTCTAGTCTATAGTCTAGTCTATAGTCTAGTCTATAGTCTAGTCTATAGTCTAGTCTATAGTCTAGTCTATAGTCTAGTCTATAGTCTAGTCTATAGTCTAGTCTATAGTCTAGTCTATAGTCTAGTCTATAGTCTAGTCTATAGTCTAGTCTATAGTCTAGTCTATAGTCTAGTCTATAGTCTAGTCTATAGTCTAGTCTATAGTCTAGTCTATAGTCTAGTCTATAGTCTAGTCTATAGTCTAGTCTATAGTCTAGTCTATAGTCTAGTCTATAGTCTAGTCTATAGTCTAGTCTATAGTCTAGTCTATAGTCTAGTCTATAGTCTAGTCTATAGTCTAGTCTATAGTCTAGTCTATAGTCTAGTCTATAGTCTAGTCTATAGTCTAGTCTATAGTCTAGTCTATAGTCTATCTATAGTCTAGTCTATAGTCTAGTCTATAGTCTAGTCTATAGTCTAGTCTATAGTCTAGTCTATAGTCTAGTCTATAGTCTAGTCTATAGTCTAGTCTATAGTCTAGTCTATAGTCTAGTCTATAGTCTAGTCTATATCTAGTCTATAGTCTAGTCTATAGTCTAGTCTATATCTAGTCTATAGTCTAGTCTATAGTCTAGTCTATAGTCTAGTCTATAGTCTAGTCTATAGTTCTAGTCTATAGTCTAGTCTATAGTCTAGTCTTAGTCTAGTCTATAGTCTAGTCTATTTCTAGTCTATCTAGTCTATAGTCTAGTCTATAGTCTAGTCTATAGTCTAGTCTATAGTCTAGTCTATAGTCTAGTCTATAGTCTAGTCTATAGTCTAGTCTATAGTCTAGTCTATAGTCTAGTCTATAGTCTATTCTATAGTCTAGTCTATAGTCTAGTCTATAGTCTAGTCTATAGTCTAGTCTAAGTCTAGTCCATAGTCTAGTCTATAGTCTAGTCTACAGTCTAGTTCATTGTATATTCTATAGTCTAATCTATAGTCTAGTCTAGTTCATAGTCTATAGTCTATTCTACAGTCTAGACCATAGTCTAGTCTATAGTCTAGTGTATAGTATTGTCTATAGTATTGTCTATAGTCTAGTCTATAGTCTAGTATATAGTATACCATATACATATATAGTCTAGATTATAGTTGAGTATTTAATCAGCGGAAAATTAGTTTACTACTTTAAATCCATAAAAGTACCACTTTTGTTATAAGTTAATGCTATTTCAAAATTAAATTTCATGTCTGATACAAATAATAAAGAAATCTTACCTTTAATATGCACGCATATTAAAAACTTATTAAGAATTGGTTTTTAATCCCGTACCGATTACCCGTTTAAAATAAAAACTTATTAAGAATTGGTTTTTAATCCCGTACCGATTACCCGTTTAAAATAAAATAGATTTACATATTGACAACACTTATTATTGAACACATTTTCTTTTGAATAACAAATAAAAGAAAGAAAACAATTGCATAAATAAAAACAACAAACATTACTCTCTTTTAATTATTCTCCTTTTATAATAGAGAGATTATTTTTTTCATTTTTTTTTACACACTTCTTCACTAAAAATTGCATCATACAAAAAACAACACCAAGCAAGAGATCTACGTTAAGGGCAACAAAAACAAAATAAATAGACACCGTTAAAAACAAAAACAACAACTGAACAAATTCTTCAAAAAATTTACTTTACTTGATGCATTTTTAAATTTTAGGCATTTTTTTTTAATTTTAGAAATTATAATATTTTTAATAACTTTTTACGATTTTTCATATAATTGCACTATTATGATTAATATTTTATTAACTTTAAATAGATTAACACACTTTTATTTAATTAAATTAACATTTTTAAGAAGAGCGTTTCGTTTATGCGACCGACTTTTATAATTGCAAGAAGAGAACTAAATTGATGATTAAATTAGCAGTGATAACAAATAGGAAAACAATGCATGACAAAAATATAAAAGAACAACAACATACAGCTTCATATGATAAATGTTGTTCTTGTTTGTTTGTTTTTAAAAACAAAACAGTGCATGAACATAAGATTATTTATGAAGCTGTGTTTTCTTATTATTTTGTTATTGACAAAATCAGAGATGAAAAATTGTGCCTGAGCAGGGATGGAAAAATTTTTAAATAAATTATTTTAAAATTTCTCAAATTAAGGGCCATTATCTCAACCTTCTATTATCATTTTACCGGTAGATATACTACCGGTTAAACCATTTTTTTGGATGAAAACTGTCAATTTGTCGTTAGGACAAAAATTAATCAGACATTGAGAAAATGGGGGTAAATATGCTAATGGGGTGTTATTGGTAGCACTGTTAAAAGGGACTATTTTTTGGTACTTTTTAGTTTTTTTAACTGGTACTTCTTGAGTTTTCTATAATATTAGAAAATAATATTGAAACATACCGATCGACTAAGAATCACTTTATGAGTCCGTCTGTTTAGCTGGCTAGCTGTCCAATTGTAAAAATTGTGCGCAAGGCACTGCTGTTTTTCGGCACAAGGAAGCCTATTGAAAATGGTTGAAATTGGTCCATCTATGGGTTAATATGTATATTGACCAGTGTTTGGACTAGTCTGTGAACTTTTCTATAAACTTCTCCATTGACTATACCCTACATCCACCTTAAAGTATACCAAACAGAATCACTTTCTGAGTCGATTTAGCTATGTCTGTCCGTCTGTGTGTCCATGTAAACTTTGTGCGCACTCTACAGTTCGCAATTTTCAAAATAATTAGCTGAAGTTTAACACGTACTCTTTTTTTTTTTTTTGACTCAAGGACGAAGCATAAAATAGTTAAAATCTGTCCATCCGTATAGCCCCCGTACAAACGTACTCCCCGAAAATGACTTTTGAGCTCATAAATATGTTAAATGTTTTTGCATCACTCCAAAAATCGGCAAAACTTAGTATTATATAAGTCTTAATGATACTGCTGATTTTCATAATGATAGGACATCATTTCACCCTATTCCCCATACTAAATCCCCTTCAGAAAATTTCTTGATGGTAAACATTCACTTATAAGGCGTAAATCCCTCTACCAAAATTTATAAGCATAGGATCATATTAACACACTGCCTCCATATAACCCCTCTTTTAAAAAATCCCCTTTAATACCCTTCACCTTCGTGAGAAGGGTATATGTATATAAGTTTGTCATTCCATTTGTAATATCCAAATTTTGGATTCCAAAATATAATTTTCCGACCCTATAAAGTATATATATTCTGAATCCTTATAGATAGCGGATTCGATTAAGCCATGTCCGTCCGTCTGTCTGTCTGTCTGTCTGTCTGTCTGTCCGACTATCTGTCTGTCTGTCTGTATGTTTGTTAAAATCAGTTTTTAAAGGACCCCAGATATCGGCGAGATCCGAATCTTCAATAATCCTATTAGGCATGCTTTCGGGAAGATCGCTATATAAAATCAGCAAAATCGGTCCATAAATAACGGAGATATGAGCAAAAATCGGAGACAACCTCTGAAAATTTCATAAAAAAGACAATTTTTTTCATGTTTTGATAAATAAACAACAACACTGCTTATTCATTGCGTTGTGTATTTTGTTTTTGTTTTCTTTTGAGTATTTCGTTTCTTATGTTTGGATGTCTGTTGGTTTCATTGCGTTGTGTATGTTGTTTTTGTTTCTTAGTGTATTCAGTTTCGTATGTTTGGATGTCTGTTGGTTTCATTGCGTTGTGTATTTTGTTTTTCTCTTTTTGTGTATTTCGTTTCGTATGTTTGGATGTCTGTTGGTTTTACTACCTTGTGTATTTTGTTTTTTCTGTGTTTTGTTTTCGTTTAGCGTTGTTGTTGTTGTTCGTTTTGCTATTGCTATAATAATGATATAGTCTGGAAAATGCAATAATATTAAATTTTATAAAATTGATATTTATACCCTACACCACTTTAGTGGGGAGGGTATATTGGATTTGTGCTGATGTTTGTAACATACAAAAATATTCGTCCTAACCCACCTTAAAGTATACCAATCGGCTTAGAATCGTTTTCTGAGTCGCAATTTTCAAGATAATTGGATGAAATTTGGCACGCACGTTTTATTTGACCTAAGGATGAAGCCTATTGAAAATGGTTAAAATCGGTCCATTATTTCACCTAGCCCCCATAGAACAGAAGGGAAAAAATGAAATTAAATACTTTATTATTAAAAAAAATCAAAATCTGTAACATAAACACTGGTGTAGAGTATCATATGGTCGCCCATGCCCGACTATAAATTCTTACTTGTTTTGTGTTGGTCTAGTACTAGTCATATGAAAACAGTAATTTTTTCTTATGCGAGTCCTCCTAATGTTAAAGCATGCCTACGTATGTTTGAATTTTAAACTAATTATGCCGAATTTAATTATGATTTATGATTAATAAATGTTTTTATAACATTGTCAAATAAAAATTCTTTTAGAAACTCAAAGAGCATAAAAATAGTTTCTCACGTTACAATGTAATTAAAGCTTTTTGTCAATGGGTTATTATAGTGAAACATAGTCAAAGGAAAATAAGTAAAAAATATGTAAGTAAAAGTTTTGATTAGAATGGAATCCATTCTAATGACTCCTTTTTATATTGATATCTTACTACTTAACTAGATAATTTCATTCTATAGGGTGTCTGGAGTCTTTTGTTTAAACAAAGTTACAAAATTATGAGATTTTCTAGTGACCGATTTATTGTTCTTAATTACTGCAAATTATAAATATAAAATTCTGATACTAAATTTAAGAACATTAGCGACATTTTGTTTTCTATTTTATTCCCTCTTCCACTTCCCGCTAAATATGATGAGTACCATACATTTCCTTGCACACATCATCGACCACACAGCGTTTTAAATTCTTAATTTCCTCTCTCCGTGATCTAGACATTATAATATAATTTATCATCTTGTGCATTTCTTCAAAATACAAGAGACCAGCAGTACCGCAAGTTAAATCCAAATAACGAAAACGATTAACATTGCACGTACAGCCATCGAAGAGAAAATAAGTCATTTTATTGCCATCATGGGCGCGCAAGGCAACATAATTGCCCCAGGGAACCATGGCATAAACACGATCGGCACAGCGAAAGGCAGAATGTAAAAGCTTACATAGACTGTCATAACTGCCACATTCCGAGCCCACTACAGCCATTGTTTTGGGTTGTCCCAGGAGTCCAGGATAGGAGTTGGGGCGATAGGTTACTTTATCCTGAGCACAATTGAAAATGCAGGGTTCCTCAATGACTTTCTCCTTGACTTCTGGTTTAGGTTCTTCCTTTTTTTCTTCTTTTGGCTCTTCTTTCTTTTCGACTTTGGGTTCTTCGGGTTTTACCTCAGCTTTGCCTTTTTTCCCCTTTTTGTCTTTACCTTTAGCTCCTTTATCTTTACCACCCTTTTTGGCCATTGAATTAGTTTTGATTTGAAATTAGTTTTTTTAATTTTGGCTATCTGTTTAATTTTGTGGTAAGGCCGAAATTAATGATTTTTTTTTTTGTAATTTTGTAAGAAAATTTTTAAACTTTTCTTTTTTTTCCAAATGTTTATTGTGACATGAAAAATTGAAATGAAATTTATTTAAAAACAAATGAACTAGATTTTTAAGTAGGCCTTATATTTAGAGCACAATATGTTAAGTCCATGTTAAATAAAATCAATCAAAATTGCAAACTTCATCGAATAACTAAACAAGAAATATTTTATGCACATTTCTACTTAATTTAGATTCAATTTGTGGAAAAAAGTGCAATCCAAGTATTTAAATAGGAGTTATAAAATCAAATTATTTTTGAATAACTTCTATACCAAATTATCCTTATCAATTTACCATAATTACCTGTCAATTAGATTCTATACTACCTATTGTAAAGCACAATTTCATCACTTGTCAGAATAGAAGAAAAAATCACATAAAGTGGTATGATTTTGTAATCATTTGTGGTCGGGAAAAAAATATATTTAGCAATAATTTGCCATAAACATAAATATAAAAAGTTTTACAAAAAATAAAAACAAATTGTTTATCTATAATCGATTCTTACCATTTTCATACTATGAAAATGCTTGAGTTTTTTTCTTATAGTTCTTGTAACTACTTTGAAATTCCGCGAAAAAAAGAATTACCACAACAATATTTTTAATAACACAAAATAATGTATAAGACTACCATTGTGCTGCTGATGATGATGATGATGAGGGTTATTGTTCAGTCACTCAGTCAGTGACCATAGAGCTGAACAAAAGAAGTCTAGACAAGAAGCAGACTGTTTGTTGTGTTATGTGAGAGGTTAACCGTAAAGACAGGGAAGTTATTACAATGCGAACATGCATGAATATTACATGTTTTTTTACCCTACACCGTTATGGTGATATCATACCCAAGTTAAAGGCTGTATATCGTCTCGGCATAAAATTATGAATCACTTAACGATATTCCAAAAAGTCCCCTTTTATATGTTCTCACTTAATCCGCGTTTCTAGTTCATTATTATAGAAAATTTAAAAAGTACCTTCTGAAGAAAAAGTACCCTAAAATAGTTCTTGGTACCGAAGTTACAAATAACACCCAGTTAGCATATTTAGTGTTAATACAGAGAGGGAATAAAGACGTTTTATACACTCTTGGTACCAAATTCAGAACAGAGTATTTATAATTATACTCTACACCACTTTAGTGGGGAGGGTATATTGGATTTGTGCTGATGTTTGTAACATACAAAAATATTCGTCCTAGACCGTTTAGACGTTTTATACACTCTTGGTACCAAATTCAGAACAGAGTATTTATAATTATACTCTACACCACTTTAGTGGGGAGGGTATATTGGATTTGTGCTGATGTTTGTAACATACAAAAATATTCGTCCTAGACCCACCTTAAAGTATACCAATCTGCTTAGAATCGTTTTCTGAGTCGATTAAGCTATGTCCGTCCGTCCGTCTGGCTGGCTGGCTGTCCATGTAAACCTTGTGCGCAAGGTACAGGTCGCAATTTTCAAGATAATTGGATGAAATTTGGCACGCACGTTTTATTTGACCCAAGGACGAAGCCTATTGAAAATGGTTAAAATCGGTCCATTATTTCACCTAGCCCCCATAGATTCAGCACAATAAGATATTATGTACATATAAATATATTCACAAAATTTTATCGGGCTTGGTCCATATTTGCCCCTAGCCCTCATATAAAGCCTCTTTCAGAAAATAGTTTTTCATCCATAAATTGCTTAAATGTATTGGAACAAGGGAATATTGAACATAAATGCTTTATTATGAAAAGTAAATCACATTTAATATTCATAACTGGTGTAGGGTATCATATGGTCGGTCACGCCCGACTATACTTTCTTACTTGTTTTTTAATAACATTCGTTGTCAAAGTATGAACGGATAGTTGTCAAATCAAGAACAAAAATGCACGACCTTATTAAATCAACAAAAAAATAAATAAATAATACATGACGTTGTAAAATCATAAGCGCAGATTCGATCCACGACTGGTAACGAATGTCGAAGTGCTTTACGGGAACACCTGCCCTGAGGGCCTTATTTCACGGTGGTCTGGATAGCCTTGAGAACGGTCTATCATCGCCCGTGAATCCTTCAATGAAGAAATTAGGTGGCCATTTTTGTACATGGCTGAGCCGGCCCATGTCCACGAATGGTAGCGGCCAACTACGAAAATTTTTATTTTTTTTTAAATATTTGTTTATATGGAGGATGAGTGAAAACGATGTGTTATCAAACTATGTTATCAAGCTACATATGTTATTGAAATGACAGCAATGAGTTGTCAAAATGATAACTGGGTGTTATCTAAATTTTATACACAACCGTTGTCTAAATGTTAACAAACGCAGTAAGCTCACTTTTGACAACGGATTGTATCAATTTCGGTATTTTTCTACCGGTTTTCCAAATTAAAAATTTTTATAAAAATTGACGGAAATCAAACGGGAAATCTATTTTCCAGTTTTTATTCCCTTTTGGTTATTTTTTCTCCCACATTGAAGTAATAAAATTGTCTTCCGAAAAGTTGTAGTATCGTAGTGCGAGCCCAGCAACAAAGTTTGCAAAAATCCTGTTTTAGTGGATCGATTTGTCGTTCGTCGAAGATTAACATTCTGGTTAACCTTCCAAAGTCTCACTTTCAAATTTCATAAGGATCGATCGAAAATTTACCCTCTATTAGCCTCCTATTACCGAAGTCTCACTTTTAAATTTCAAAAGGATCGATTGAAAATTAACCCCCGATTAGCATCCTATTAGCACTTTTGCAGAAAATCTCCTTCCTGTCAATAAAACGTTGAAAAATCAAGGTATTCAACAAAAAGTTGTTATTAGAAATGTATCACTAATACAAAATATGAAGAGTTTGGTCCATAATAGACCCTAGTCCCCATACAAATTTACACTTCCGAAAATCACCCATATGTTACTCATATCGATATAGGACAAAGATTGGATGTTGTAAGACTGTCAAAGTCAACAGGAGCTTGCAAAATTATTGGAAACTAATAAACGTTTGTGATCAGCAAAATTCCTTGAGAAGTAGGGAACCGGCCACTCTGATATTTAAGCAAATATCCATGGCGCTCAGCTAATGTTCTGTAGTTGGTTGAACCAAAGCTATTATAAGTTTATGGAAACTTACCAAACTATTAAAGGGAACTTATAAGGAATGTAACTGATACACTGGCCATACAGCGTAATATGTATTTCATAATGACAGCGTTCGGCCACATGTTGCAATAAATGTTAAAAACTATTGAAAAAGAAGTATTTAGGAAGTTATGTCTCACTCATCCTATAGGACTGGCCTTGTCTAAACTTTTTGTTTCGCTCAATGTTAACGCTCACTTTGCTATAAGCTTGACTTTATATCGGGGTATTTGGATAAGCCTTTGGCCTGATAAGTTTCTAGCCCCCCAAAACTGAAGAGCATACCTGTTATTATATTCAGGGACTTCGTCAATTAAATTTCAACCTTAAGATGGACATCTTTAAAACCGATTTCTTACCTGTAAAGAAAAAGAATATAAATAATTATTAAGAATTTCTGCCGCCTTCAAATATGTAAATTTTGAACAAATAAAGACGGGCAAGTAATGGTAGGCTAATCCTAATTATCCTTTTTATTACTTAAGTACTATAGGGTGCACAAAATCTATAAACATTCTAAAGACTTACTAGTCTTTAGTTACAAAACAAAAAACACCAATAGACAGATATTATATTCTTTAAAAACAGAAAAAACTAATGTAAGTTATTGTTTTTTAACAAAAAAACTTACTACATACATACATAAATATGTACATATTTATCTAAAAAAGTCATATATGGCAATAACACAAAAACTTGTAAATGTTCAAAAAGGAACTAAAATTTAAATAAATTCAAACGTTTACAGTTTTTGCCATTTTTTCAAATTGTATACAAAATTCTATTAGACTTTTTAAATCCATTTTTTTTTGACTTAGTCACTATTCTGTTATGTTATCTGATTAAAAAACATTTTGAATACTTGTATGTCTTCCTGATGTACATACAACAACAACAATTTCCAAAAAAAAAAAATCATTTAAACTTTGCATTTTTTTAAATAATAATAAAAATTTTGGCAAAAAAAAAAACAACTCAAATTCAAAAATACAATAGCATTAGAATCCATTCACTTTTGAATTTGAGTTTTGTGGTTTGTAAGTTCCCCCCAAAAAAAAATATAGAAAAAAATCTTATTATTACTTTTGTAATCATTTAAACTGATGAAAGACTGTAAAATAACAAAAATTTCGCAAACTCTTTTATCAATAAGCAAAAATACAATTTAACTAACGCGTACTTCTATGAACATTGATCACGCTAAACTCATGTTAAGATGTATTTTATTTTCGTTTTGGTGTTTTTTTTTTCAACAATTTTTCAAATTGAATTTAATTTAATATTCAGTTACACGAGGGACATTTAACATGGGAAGATTTAATTTGTGTCTTTTTTGCAGCAGCATGCTCGTGGCCATGTTTTGACTGTTTGTAACTATTTGTCATTTCGCAATTGCTGATGAATGTTTTTTTTTTTTTTTTTTTTCAAATATTGGTGGGGAAAGGAACATGTAGGAAACATTTTCTAATATTTAGAAAAGTATCTCTAAAATTGTTTAGTTTGCATAAAAATTATGAATTTTATTAGCATTATTATTCTGCGTAATTAAGGTGGGCACTAAGCCATAGAACGAAAATAAATAGTCCACATTTTCAAAGCTATGATTTAAAACAAAACGATATTTATTTAAAAATAATAAATAATATATTATATAAAGAGAAAACTGAGTTATAGAGCAGCAGTTCCGACTGATATGCGATCAGGACTTAACTATGAGTGATATCTGAAATGATCTGTAGTATACGAAGATCGCCCACATTCTGAAGCAAAATTGCAATTCATATTGAATACTGACTGATCTTTCATAGATAGTGCTTATGAGAGAATTTCCCCGAAATTTTTGAATAAATACGAAAAAAAAAGAGAATATAATCAAAAATGTTCTAC